GACCACTCATCTTGTTTAATACATTCTTGTCATGAAAATACATAACGCTTAGCCACGACCACGGAACTATGAAACTCAAAACGTTTGACAACAAAATATATTGATCATCGATTTCTCTGGCAATAATTAATATGCTGGATCACGTGATCATAATCAGCCATTCAGGTGGCATTTTCAACAGATTGCAAGCGAAGCCACCTTTCTATTAAAACGTAAAGATTTATCCAAGTCGAAACAGATCATAGCAAAGCCACATGTCTCTCTATCGGAATTTAACATTGGAAAATCATAGAACAGTGGGACCAGTAAAGTTAATTTGTGTGTGTGTTTATGTGCGCGCACACACATTCGTGATGTGTTTATAGGTGTGCGCCTGTACTATCGTGAGAAGTGTAACTTACAAAAATGTATTTTCAATGTATTCTATATTTATTGGTAATATTGCTTGCTAGATAGAACTTATTTAATTCTAAAAGTATTCACAGAATCAACGCCAAGCGGCAAAAGCCTGTTTCATGCTTAGCCGCATTGAAATGAATGATTTGAAGATGGAAATTATGAAAAAACTGTCCCCACTTGCTGTTGATCTCAGTGCCCTTCTGTATGGAGATGTCTACTCAAATGGGTGTATCCACTAAATATAAAAAATATATGTGCCCGCGCGCGCGTATCTCTGTGTGTGTGTGTGCAAACGCACATGCGTTTGGGCTACAAACAGACGGACTAAGTCGAATACTCATATTTGCAGAAAAATCCATCTGTACAACTTTTATTAAATATTCAGGAAATGAGCGATCATGACTTTCCACAATTGTTTTTCCTTTGCAGCTCAAACAATTTTTGTCGCCTTACTATCTATCGCTGTCCCTCTTCTGTCATCCGCTTATACGAAATCGTTAGATAGATTTCCGTAATTTGACCCTTTGCCACTCTTGTTTATACTGAACCGTGTTTCAAATTTTACAAACCCGTTTTCATCTATATGTATCTTAGAAATTTCACCTTACATTTACTGGCCGTAAGCACGAGTATCTTTTGGCTCCAATTTTTAAAATTCCTCCTTAATCAATCTTTTATAGAATTTGTTTCCCGTCTCGTCTACATCCTTGAGAAAGTTGACCAGCACTTATTGCCTTACAGGAAGATTGATAACACATCTAAGTTTAACGAAGTCTGTATTTCTAACGAAACATTCCTGTTTCTTCAGGCTTTGTTTAGCTTTTGGAAGACATTCTTCACTCTTCCAATACTATACTTTCTGTACTTATTTGATTCTGACGTCTCCATGCATCTTCAGCGCGCCCTTTTCATGATGGCCATATATTCTATCTTCTTGCAGTTAAGGGTTAGCCATTATTCCATTTCAGCTTCACGGAATCGAGTAGGAGCTCTATTACTTTTCTGTTTAAATGTGCTACGACCAAAGTAACATCTGCGTCAGATTATATTTTTATCATTGTGACAACTACAATATACTGAGATAATTTTCTGTCACTACGTGATAATATATTGTATAATCTAGACCTCTATAAAATATAATACCATTAGTATATAGTCCACAACTCCTAACTTTATATATTATGCATGACAAATTGTCGTTTACGAGAATTTCAAATCAGTATATCAGCTTTTATTTATAGCAATATATTTTTAGTCTAGATTTATTGATGAACATGCCATCTTGAAGGCTCATTGATATTTGACATTCAATTATCCAATTCCCTTATTTTATTTTTTATTAGTTTTGTGTATATTTATGTCGTGTATTTTCTTTGTGCCCAAGTTATGTTATTAGGAATAAAATTTAATAGAATTGTTTATATGATTTTAATTCCATTTTCTTGGTCATGATGCGATTTTAAGCAACGCGGAACGAATGTTTTCCATGTTTGTATTTGGTAATGAGATCTGATTTTTTTCTGGAAAGTAAATTATACTTAATCATATATGTAGAATGTCGAATTACATTCACATTTCCCTAAACCAAACAACATACATAAGCAACCGAGATTTCATTTCCATGCATAATGCTCATCGATAGCCGTAAACAGAAAAAAGTGGGAAAGGCCGGTTATTACAGCTCATCATTGTGGCTCGATATCCGATTGCTTCAGGCCGAGATCGAAACCCGGATGAGTTGGCATCAGTTGGAGAATTTAACACTAAGCTACTGGCACACGGTTGTGAGGAAGATGGATTTTAGCGTATGTATATTAAACAAACACACCAGTGACCGAGATAACTCAATTCATTTAGAAGCGTCTTGCATTAGCAGCACTAGTAGTCACAGTTTACAAATTCGCCCTTTCTCTCCAGAGAGCTCAACCGAATTAATTTTCGGGAGCATATATATATATATATATATATATATATATATATATATTCAGTCAGGTAAGGTCACAGCATCTGCTACGTGAAACCTGAAATTCAGTACTACATGCTCCAGTTCGAGATGCCGGTGACTAAACTGGCATTCGCAGCAATGATCCTCTTGTGGTGGTGAGGAGGGTCGCTAGACATCATGATGAAAACAATATATATATATATATATATATATATATATATATATATATATCAGATTGAATAGGCTCATGAGGGATATTGATGGCCATCTAGCAAATGGAAGACTGGATCTGGCGGACTGCGCGGGCGAAGCCACTAGTTTGGTTTAACGGACAAGAAAGCAGCCCCAGCAATGCGTTGTGGCGCGCGATCAGTGAGACAGGAACAACACTGTTAGCCATGAACTGCCTCATCTTCGGTCGTATCGACTTCGTCGTACCACAGGACCTAGATGGACAGAGACGAGAGAGTAAAGATGACGATCTTGCGAAACTCTCCCTCAGTTAAATCCAATACATGCGCAAGTCATGACTTCGTCCGAGCCACGTCTCCTTCTCAAGTCCTGATGGATACAATGGACGCGTGACCAAGAGACAGGTCTGGACGCACTAGCAATCGTAGTCACAACGCTACACGTAGACGGCCCAGGCTAATAGAGAAGGACAGTCTACCGACTACACATTCTTTTGGATTGGAGGCGTTCACAAAGAGCGCCGCCAGGTATGAGTTGGCTTTGCCATCAAGTCCAACCTGGTCAGCATACTAGCATCACGTTCGAAGGCGACCAATGAACAGCAGATGACCATCCCCTCCCGATCCTCAAGAAGACTTTCGCCACAGTGATCAGCGCGTACGCCCACACCATGACTAACATTGACGAGGTGAAAGACTTTACGAGGATCTGAAGGAGACCATCTCGGCCGTGACCAAAGCAGACAAGCTCATCATTGTCGATGATTGAACGACCGTGTCGCCAGAGATCATATGTTGTGAGATCATATGAGAAACACGAGGCGGGCAAGTGTAAAAGCAGCGGATTCCTTCTGCTGGAGTCCTGTGCCACTCATGGTCTTCTCATAAACAACACAGTCTTCGGTCTGCCCAACAGTATTAAGACGTCGTGGATGCACCCACGCTCCGAACACTTCGTCATCGTTAGGCATAGGGACAGGCGGGATATAAGGGTCACGAGGTGCATGTCCAGTGCTGAATGCTGGACGAACCAACTTCTGCTGATTTCCAAGATGAAATAGCGTATCACACCATCAAGGAGCCACAAGGCATCAGAATGCTCAAACGAATGAACATTTCAAACCTAGAGAATGGCGTAGTCAGACAAAAACTGGTAGAATAGTTGAACAACAACCTACCACCACCCAACACAGATCCGAACGTTGATGCGGCGTGAAATAGCCTCGTTTCCGTGTTGTTATCTACAGTGCAGCAACAGAAGATGTAGTATCTATCACCCGCAAGCACCAGGACTGGTTCGACGACAACAGCAATCGAATCCAGACTCCATTGGAGGAGAAACACCAACTTCACCAAGCACTCCTTAAGAACCCGTTCTCCAAAACCATATAGGAAGCTTTCAGCACTACCGGAAGAGCTTTTCGGTCTGAACTACGCAACATGCAAGATGAATGGCTTAGTGAAAGGACCGTACAGGCCTACGCAGGACATGAAGAACTTCTACAGCGCTGTCAAGGGCGTCTACGGTCCCACTTCTTCTGGGCCATCCACACTTCTCAGTGAGATGGGAACACATAGATATCGGACAAGGAGAAATACTTGAGCGCTTGGAATGTTTCCTGGGCAGTGTACTCAACCATCCATCACTCATCAAAAAAGAAGCTATTTTAAGACTACCACAAGTCCCAGTTGACAACACACTCGCAGATCCCCCAGCTGAGTAGACGTTACCAAAGCTACCAAGCGCCTCTCACCGGTAAGTACTGACTCACATCTGGTTGAGGTATATGATTCTGGTGGCCCAAAATTGAATGAAAGCCTCATAGACTATGTTGACTCAAGAAAAGCTAGCACAGGAACTTAAGGACGTTTCCATTATCCACTTATACATGCGCAAATAGAACAGAAACGTTTGTGAAAACTACCACGGCATCTCCTTATTTTCCATTGCTGGGAAGATTCTGGGCCTGCTTTGATCAATCGTCTACATCTGGAATGTGATCTACTCCCCAAGTGCCAATGTGGATTCCGCACTGGACGCAGCATCGGAGAATGTGATTGGCATTCCCGCCACTGCAAGAAAATTGCCGGGAGCAGAACGTTGGACTGTACAGCACCTTCGTGGACCTGATTAAAGAATTTGATACAGTCTGCGTGGAGGACTGTGGAGAATCACGGCCAAGTTTGGCCAAGTTCATTGCGATGATCCGGCAATTCCATGACGGCATGAATGCGAGATTGAGGGATGATACGATTATTCCGAGCCGTTCGCGTTCACCAACGGATTAACGCAGGGACGCGTACTGGCCCCAAAGCTGACGGATGCCTTCCGTGATGGAGACATCGGTTTAGGTGTTCGCCAGCGTACCAGCGGTAGACTCTTCAATTTTTGGAGATTGCAAGCAAGACAAACGTGCATGAAGATACGGCCCGTGTCGTCATGTTCTCCAACAACTGGGCGCTCAATGCCAGTACCCAGTCCGAATTACATGGCAGCGTCGATCTATTCTCCAAAGCCTGCAATTTCTTCTGAGAAGTCCGAAGTCCTGCACCAACCTGCACCTACGGCGCCCTATATTAAACCTCACATTAACGTCAACGTCCAAAGACTAGAAGTTGCAGACAAGTTCATCGTCCTTGGTTGCTGTCTATCACTCTCCGCAGATTTCGGCAGACTGAAGGATAAAATCAGGGAGCGACGAGGACTGGGTTTTAATAACAAGCTCAAAGTTTACAGAGCACTAGTGCTACCATACCTGCTCTATATGTGCGAGCCGGCATGCTAAACAGCTCGGGACCTTCCATATTAGATGCCGCAGGGCTCTGCCTCGTATTATGTGACAGGATAGTGTCTCGGACACTGAAGTACTCCAACAGGCTGGAAGGAAGAGCAACTGTGCCATCCTACTCTCCTATCAGCTCCGTTGGGTTGGTTACGTCTGCCGTATGAACGACTGTCGCCTCCTCAAGAGATCGATCTATGGCGAGTAATCCACAGACAGACCAAAGATGTGTTACAAAGACAGGCTGAAGGAGTCTCTCAAACATTGTGGCATTCCCCATTCCACCTGGGAAGAGTCTCTTGAGGACTTTTTTTTTTTTTTTTTTTGCTTTTAAGGTTTCATTATTTTTAGCCTTTTTTTCATAAATAATATTATTATAATAATTCCTATCTCAGATCAAAATTAAATAGAACAAATATTATTTACGATTTTAAATGTCCATTAAGGAATTGTGTAAATTACCAAAATCCGTAAAAAATTATCTTGGCCAAAACACATTATGTTTAACAAAAAGAATCACGTTACATCTTTCAGAACATAGCTTAATTAGGTCTCACTTAAATACTCATGAAGACCTATCAGACTCTATTCGTAATATACTTGTTGATAATAAAATTAAATAGCATCATGTACATCTAAAAAAAAACGCCTAAATATATTGGACGCCTTATTAACAAATACAAAAAGCCGAACACTGAATATTATAAACAAGGGACATAGAAACAATATATTAAGTTTGTTTTGAGAATAAAACATTCTATAATGCGAAATACATACAAATGACAAACCATTTCCAGTTAACAGTAAATATAATTCATCCTTGATAATGGTTAAAAATATTGCGGAATACGTTTTGAAAAATAATACATTTGGTCAGTTTTTGCATAATTTATCTACGGAAAAGAAAGAAATTATCGGATCGTATGCGAAATTATTTAAAAAAAAAACTTTATCAAAGCACCTTGTCTGACACACCTAATGAAGCATGCATGAAAGAGGGATTGCTGCGTAAATAGACAATATATATAATATATATATAACAATCAACATGTAATTTTGCTTTCTATGTTCACATTGTATAAACTCTCTATTTCGGATATTGAACACTCTTCTTCTTTACACATAGAAAATTTTAAACAATGTATATATCTATTTGTGTGTATCTGTGTATAAACAGATTTCAAAAATTCTGTTTACCTGCTAGCATTTTGTAAGTGTTTATTTATTCTTCGTTTGTAATGAGTAACGTTAACAAAGTATTTTAAACAAATGCGGTAAATGTTCATATCGAAAATATTTTGCACTCACAATCAATTTCACCTTATTAAGTTTACCTGGCCACAAGTGATTTTTAACTCCACTGAACGATATGTAACAAAGGAATGCCATTTTTCTTAAGTAGATATTTATTATGACAGATGTCTACACAGTAAGATAGGGTAAAATCTTTAACAATAACAAAATGAGTTATTGCTTGCTAAAAGTTCATGTCTTTCTTTTACAGGCGTCATTATGTTTACAAAGTTTCCAGCTAACTTTTGCACATTTGTACACTTGTTGGTTTATACGCGCCATCATTATCTTCGATTTATTTCCATTAAATCAGATTATCCGTAGGTATGACTAAATACTTGTCATTTATGTGCCATGTCCCATCGTGACATAGGCGAACATGGATCTCTGCAATTTCCTGTCCTTTGTAGCTTTTAATAAATTCTATTTTTGTTATCGCTACTAAAATTTGTCCCCCTTGTGTTCATTCTGTCCTTTGAGTTATTCCACGCCCTCAATCCTCACTATATGCTCTCGATATTTCAACTGTCTGTGCCTGATGTTAAACAGAAATTTACATTTTGTTTCCATTTTTCTCAAAATATTAGATGTTGCTCATATAATCGGCCCATGATATGCTCAGCATCCTTCTATATAATCAAATTGCTGTTGCTTCAAGTCGTTTCTTTATCTTTGAGAAGATTGTTCAGCCCATAGGACGATATGGGAGGACAGATATCGCGTAATATGTTGTTTCTGGCACAGTTCTCTTTATTAATAATCTGCTTAGTATTTGCAATGCATCTACGGCTTTTCCCAACACGCCTTTGGATTTCAGTGTTTCACTTTCTGTCCTCCGTATTTAAAATTTTGTAATGGTTTGCTTTTTGTATCTTCGATTTGCAGTTCACATTTCGGTTTCATTCTTTTGTTAACAAACATGCATTATGTTTTTTAAAGTGGATATTTGACCCTTTCTTCTCTCTATCCTTCACTGCCTTCTGTAGGAATTTTCGCAGTTTTCATTCTATGTCTGCTATTTTATATTAAGTTTGTGGCCACCAATAATGAATCATAGCAGGAATCCTAATTCTCTCCAAATAGCCTCGCGTTATATGTTGAGAAGACAATTATTGTCTTACGCTCCTTTCTGTTTTTGTATGTCTGCAAAACTATTTTCTATCCATATGAAGACAGTCTGCGGCCTGTATTTTTCCTGATTTTACTAATATCTTTCCCTCATATTTCGTCGTATTTATTAGTTATTTCATTTAGGCATATACTTTCAACCTATCAGTTTCAAAACTTCAAACTATCTAAATTTCGATGAAGTGATAGTATAATTCTTCTAATGACATTTTGTCTTTGGTATTTGAAATTCACGAATTTTCATGATTGACAGACAGGTCTCATATTTTACAGTTGAAAATGTTAAATATAACTATAATTTCATTGTAATAGCTTATTCCCTGGAAATTCTCACCTGTAGAATTCTCTTCGAGCTCTTTGATTTTCTGTCGTGTTCAATCAACTAAACTGTAAATACAACGTCAATCGACGTATTCTATCTCGTTAAATTCTCTTCTTTTCATTGACTTTTCTCCTTATATATGTTTTCTAAGTTTTGCAATTTGTTGTTTTCCTTGCTTAAGATGGTTTGGTTTGGTTCGATTTGGTTTGTTTCGTTTTATGGTATACCAAGCTCAATGGGTATTTCAAGGCCTACAAGATTTTTATTGCTGGGATTTTTTTTCCAGAAATATAATGTTGGTAATACTTTTTCAAAAATGTATTGCTGGTGATATTCTTTTCAAAAAAGTATTGCTGGCATTATTTTTTTTTCCAAAAAATGCATTACAAAAATGCATTGCTGGTATTAAAACCAATTTTTACACCTTCATAGTGCTCCGACCCTAGTTCGGGAGTCAACCTCTTGCCCACAGCTAGGATCCCAACAGGCGACACCACCCCGGGTCAGGATGGATCCGAGAACATCAGCAAAAAAAAAAGAATCCTCCCAACCAGCGGCCAAGCCGCCGGATGCACTCCATCGTCTTACCCAGGATGCGGATGTAGTTTATCGTCATTGCTTAAGCTGTTGCTGTTGATGATGATGTTTATCTGCTTCAAATATTCCAACGAAATCTTTAAGTACAATTTTTTCAGTACTGATTCGATAATTTTTCCGCAGTTGAATTCATTTTATTGCTATATGTTTCGTTTGTACATTTCTCTATCTAGATTATATTATAATATATTGGTTATGCTATTAAATAACTTTTACATGTAGTGTTATTTTGGTTTTGTCTGGTAACTTAGTACATAGATGTACTCATTTACAATTCCATATAATTCTATAAAGATTCATTCATATGGAAAATACTTTTAGTTGTGCAGAATTCAATTAGTTTATGGCATTAGAATGACATAGTCACCTCTATAATAATTTTTACAAAAAGGCACACATTTACTACGAAAATAACATCAATACTGAAAACAAGAAAATAGACACTGAACTAAAAATTGGTTATAAGATCCACAGATTCCCCAAACACGAAACATTCATCAAAGGTAAAGACGATTATGCAAATTTTATAAAAAAAAAACGCAATACGTATTCTTTAAGTTTAAGTTTAGATACTTATTTTTAAATTTTCTTTATTTTTGCAGACACACACACACATATATATATGTATATAGATAGCGCTTAATTTAATTGCCAAATATAATTTTTAAATTAATAAAAAAATCATCCCAGCATGATAGAAAACAGCGACAACTTTGAAAGAAAGAGATGTGTTATAATTCAAATTGTTTAAAGGTCAGTTCATATTCTGAAGATTGCACAGTTTTATTAAAAGCAGCACTAAATGCGCGATATATATATATATATATATATATAATGACATTATTATCTTTATACATTTTTATAGATACAAATATTTATGCTCTGATTATAATAAACAGTATTAAACAACATTTACCGGCCTGAATGTCCGAGAATTTTTCATAGAAAAATTCGTCCTCCGGCAGGAATCGAACCTGTATCCTATACAGACCCTCATATAGCCTGACGTTCTTTAACCGATTGGGCCACAGAGTATCGTTCGGTTTGCAAGGTTAATTTAAACTACAATCTTCCATGATTGTTTTTAAACATAATAATGTCTTAATTGTCGAACTTTGTCCATTTCATAATGTGTAACGTCATTTGCTTACATATGGATACGCATTGAGAAGATATTAAAATACGTGAGAGAATCACGTGACCTGAGGATTGAGTCTAGCATAAAACAGCCTGTCGGCTCTAAGAGTTGACTTCAAAGTCACACACACACACACACACACACACACACACACACACACACACACACACACACACACGTGTGTGTGTGTGTGTGTTTGCGCATGTGTTTGCGCGTGTGTGTCTGTGTGTTCAATTCACAACACGTGGCTATAAACAACACCTAATCAGGGGACATATAAATGAAGCAATTTCCACACCTAGAGAAGTCAACCTATTGTACAAGTTTTAAAATAAACCCAAACTCATCCCTCGAGTAACCACTTTCAACACCATTCTTCCTCCACTATCTCAGATAATCAAAAGTCGTTAGGGAATACTAAATCTCAAACCAGACCTAAAACAACAATATCGATTACTTACAGAAGAGGATATAAGGCCATTTCTCCGTTGCAAGTGATTTGTTTGGAATACCAAGAGTATTATTAGTTCTTTGAGGAAAGTTCATGGTGATTGTACACGGAAGATATTAACAAATGACAAACTCATTTCAAAAATAGTCTAGACGAAGTTGAATATACTGAAGGAACCAGCAGATCTGTTTTGTTTGTTAGCACCAGATGATTAACGGCAGAATGAATAGCTAACAACCTCGATATAACAGTTGATTTAGTCCGCACAATGTCATCTAAAGTATTAAAGTTATGCAACATTTCTACTCGAGTGGTACGAAAACTGTTGCACCTTTTTCAGCAACCGACAAGAGTATAGCTTTAAATGGACATTCTAAACAAACCGGAACTGAACCATTGTGGTTTACTGAGGTTATAGTTACTAAAGATAAATGTCGGCATTAGCAGTACGATACCAAAGACAAGTTCCAGTCTAAAAAATTGAAAAAATTGGAAAAATGGATTACGGCACGATTAATTTCATTCATTCGTTTTCTATATTTTATCACTCTTAGAAGAATATTTAAAATCAGAAAATATTTTTAAATTTTAAGATTATTTTGGCGATGATAATGATATATTGATACACGTGTTATTAGCTAATACATAGCTTTTGCAAGAAGAGGTGGATTCATATATTTGCCAAGTGTATGCGTGCATCAGTGAATATAAACAACCCAATTAAAATTAGAACTCTGCGCTACGATTAACAACTGTGTGCCATTATTCATTACACCACCCATACATCCAAGCTTGCAGTACCTGTTATTCCCAAGAGATCAAAAATATAGGAACAAAACCGACACGAACGGGATCCGCTACTTCAACCTATGTCCGGCGAGCGTTTTCAGGTATGCGGGAGGTATTTTGCTAGTTGACATTTATAAAGAAATGTAAAATAACCTGTTCGTTATTAAAGGATATTAGCCTTGCACTTTCAATGAAAAGTTCCTCAGAGAATGTTTTCTAGCACGAAAATGCTCCTGCTATTTCCTCTCCACAAACTAGGGAAAGCTTTGCGTGAATCTCCATGATTAATCAATGAATAGACACCATGCAGTCCTGATTAAGCACATTCTAACTTTTTAGTTCTTCCCCCTACTAAACATTGGAAGGCTCCTATTTTGGATCTATTAATGGCATATAGAGGCACGTTAGAATTATGGCTAGCGGCACGAATTCAGGAATCCGGTTGCCGAGTTCGAAATCCAGTTGAATCCATTATATTCACTTACGTACTAATACCCATGAGAAAGGTATGAATCCTCTTCTTCTCTATTGGTAAATAGCAGGACAGGCCGTGTTCTATAGCGTTGATAGCAACTGGTCTACCACAAAAAGAAATGGTATCCTAATGCTGGAAGATATCTGCCTCGAACGATACATGATCGCCTAAACGTGTATCATGCATGGCAGATAACTGACTGAATGACATAAATGGTGAATATCACATGATTATATTCTCAAGGCCCACATTTATTGTGGGATTGTATAAATAACTAATAATATCGCTTACAGATCTCTCTTAAAATTGATGGAGCTTACGACCAGTGATGATTGATTTCATTTCCTAACTTTCAAGAAAAAAATTTGATCATGAGATATGACAGAAGAATAATACGTGGAGTAGAAAACTTATAATTGCTTCAGCGATAAAGTTATTTAAATTTTAATGACACTAATATAAGGCAATTTTCCATCATATTTTTCCCAATCTATCTACTTCCAAAAGCCGATAGATTTGCAATATTATCCTTATTTCTATGGAAGCGTGTACTACCATATTGACATTTAGCTTAGAATAATCATTTTATTTGAATTATTCATTGTCTAAAAGTTTTTTATTTTATTCTACAGCTTTATTAGCGATATATATATATGTTGAAATACTGCTTCCCAAAAATATCCCAACCAACTTTGGCTGGGATATTTTGGGAAAAATATTCAACACATATATATATATATATATATATATATATATATATATATATATATATATATATATATATATATATATATATTTGCTAAATCTGACAAAGCTATTTGTTAGCTTTAAAAGTAAATCATCCATCTTTCATCATTTCCATATAGACAATTACACGTTAAAGTTAATTATAAGTGCACAAGTATGAATGTGATCAGAAAAAAATATATCGTAGTCGCATATTTTACGTTTTAAAATTATTATTATTATTATTATTATTATTATTATTATTATTATTATTATAGTAAAAATTCTCGAATTTGTAATTGTTCTCCGGGGATTTTGAAAAAAATATTAGCTGTCCAGAAATTCGTTTGAGTCATTTTCATTTTTTGTCGACTTAATAATTTCTCCCCTGAGAATATATTTATAATAAATAATAATATTTTTGAAGCACACTTAGGAAATATTAACATTTGTTTACTTTTTAAGTGAACCTCCTAGAATTAAAGCTAGAATAAATATTCCTATTTTATTATTGAGACATATTTATTATGCGGACTCTTGTGACCAAGTAAATAATTAAAGAAATAACAAAGCAATTGTTTCAGATATATCATATATTAAACAGTAAGTACAACAAAAAAGTATTACATGACTAGTGAGTGGGTGTCGGTTGACCCAGCGTTCAAACTGTTCGACTGTTATATTTAAAAGACCCCACCCGCCAAGAGGGATGTATGTTGCACAAGGCCGAGTTTACCATGGGTCCTCCGCGCCCGGAGGCTTGGACAAAAATATACCCTTAGAACTCGTATAAACTGGTTCAGTGTCTGTCTACCTCCCAGGACGAAATTTTGCCCTTTGGCAAAGCCTCGTCCGGGTTCCTATCTGTTCAAGGTAGACAGTTCGACAGTAAAGAACAATGTTCCCCCAAGGCCTTCTCTCCTACTAATTTTATAGTAGGCGGAAGAGTCCAGCATAAACTCTTTAGAGTGAGGACACCACAACAGGACTGAACTTTAAAAAAAACAAAAAAACAGGGATGATTTATTTTCGCATTTTTGTTTTCTCTTCTTTTATAATCGCGCTATCTCAATTATTATTCTGTTTAACAGACTACGTTTTAGTATATATTCAGAGGCACGGTGGAGTGAAGGATAGTGGCTCGGATTGAGAGGACAGCCATGTTCGAATTCCATTTGAATCCATTACATTTACTTACGTGCTAATGGAAAGGTATGAATCCCTTGTTTTCAGCTATATATAAATAGCAAATCAGACCGGGTTCTATAGCCTTGGATAGTCTACCGCAGACAGAAATGACATACTATTTCATGTTGTATCGGAAGATACATGATCACCTAAGTATGTCTCACGCATGACACATAACTGACTGATACATTCAGATACATCGATCTCAAGGAGTTTCTAGTATAAACATGCACAGCAGGAATGATAGAAAATATATTCTTTGGTTTAGTTTTATTTAGATAGAATCTACAATTTCCAAGGTATGTTAACAAGTTAGCTCATGGATTTTATAAGAAGCTCTTGATATAGACGCAAAATATAGCAACAGAATCAACATTTATATATACAAAAATAGATGGACAGAGAGAAATGAGACATTTCTGTGGAGTCGAGAAATAAATAAACAACATAATGACTGAGTTAAATTGCTTAAGACACCACTGCTAAATTATCCCACTGAAATGACAGAATTTTAAGAAGGCTGTACTTTGTTAATTGTTCTGATCTATACGTGGTGATTTTTGGATTGTGTGCCACATCTAGAATATTTCTCATCACATGCAGCTCTACTGAAGAATACAAGACAAACCATCACGTAAAAATAAATGGGAAGGAAAATCTGGTACAGCGTCCGTGAAAACACTTTGATAAGGACATATAATATATATATATATATATATATATATATATATATATATATATATATATATATATATATATGTAGTAAATGAGACCGGTGATATATTTTGAAAAAAAGATGCTATCAACACCTCTACAATAGGCTCAAAAACATAAGCAACAGACAAGACTAGAAGATGAGTGATATGAGAGAACCACATCAAATGTTAGACATTGAAAACATGCTCAGTAAACCTAGCATAGGGATGGATACTATTTGAATGTTTCTGGAAGTTTCATCACGTTAATTAAAAAAATGAACTAATATTATATGAGATATGTTTTTTCTTTTTATTATTGCCACGGATTTTACCACTTAAACGTTATTTCAGTAGATACGCATATTTTAAGAGACGCTACGATTATTTATTTGACAATATATTTATTTCTTTCAATAAATAAATGGACAGTCTAATCAAATTTGATTGTCCACTAAAAATAAAGTTTAAATTTTTCTTTCTTTTCCTCTCATCTACATTTCTTTCTTTTTTCCTCTCATCTAACTTTCTTTCTTTTTTTCATCTCATCTACCTTTCTTTCTTTTCCTCTCATCTACCTTTCTTTCTTCTTTTCCTCTCATCTACCTTTCTTTCTTTTCCTGTCATCTACCTTTCTTTCTTTTCCTCTCATCTACCTTTCTTTCTTCTTTTCCTCTCATCTACCTTTCTTTCTTCTTTTCCTCTCATCTACCTTTCTTTCTTTTTCTCTCATCTACCTTTCTTTCGTCTTTTCCTCTCATTTTCTTTCTTTTCCTGTCATCACCTTTCTTTCTTTTCCTCTCATCTACCTTTCTTTCTTCTTTTCCTCTCATCTACCTTTCTTTCTTTTCTCATCTACCTTTCTTTCTTCTTTTCCTCTCATCTACCTTTCTTTCTTTTTTTCCTCTCATCTACCTTTCTTTCTTTTTTCCTCTCATCTACCTTTCTTTCTTTTCCTCTCATCTACCTTTCTTTCTTTTCCTCTCATCTACCTTTCTTTCTTCTTTTCCTCTCATCTTTTTTCTTTCTTTTCCTCTCATCTACCTTTCTTTCTTCTTTTCCTCTCATCTACCTTTCTTTCTTTTTTCCTCATCTACCTTTCTTTTTTTCTCATCTCTTTTCCTTTCCTCTCATCTACCTTTCTTTCTTTTCCTCTCATCTACCTTTCTTTCTTCTTTTCCTTCATCTACCTTTCTTTCTTTTCCTCTCTTCTACCTTTCTTTTTTCTTTTCCTCTCATCTACCTTTCTTTCTTTTTTTCCTCTCATCTACCTTTCTTTCTTTTTTCTCATCTACCTTTCTTTCTTCTTTTCCTCTCATCTACCTTTCTTTCTTTTCCTCTCATCTACCTTTCTTTCTTCTTTTCCTCTCATCTACATTTCTTTCTTCTTTTCCTCTCATCTACATTTCTTTCTTTTCCTCTCATCTACCATTCTTTCTTCTTTTCCTCTCATTTACCTTTCTTTTTTCTTTTCCTCTCATCTACCTTTCTTTCTGCTTTTCCTCTCATCTATCTTTCCTTCTTTTCCTCTCATCTACCTTTCTCTCTTCTTTTCCTCTCATCTACCTTTCTTTCTTTTCCTCTCATCTACCTTTCTTTCTTTTCCTCTCATCTACCTTTCTTTCTTCTTTTCCTCTCATCTACCTTTCTTTCTTTTCCTCTCATCTACCTTTCTTTCTTTTCCTCTCATCTACCTTTCTTTTGCTTTTCTCTCTTCTATCTTTCTTTCTTCTTTTTTCTTCATCTTTCTTTTTTCTTTTCCTCTCATCTACCTTTTTTTCTTTTTTCTCTCATCTACCTTTCTTTCTGCTTTTCTTTCTTTCTTTCTTTCTTTTCCTCTCATCTACTTTTCTTTCTTTTCTCCTCATCTACCTTTCTTTCTTTTCCTCTCATCTACCTTTCTTTCTTTTCCTCTCATTTACCTTTCTTTCTTCTTTTCCTCTCATCTACCTTTCTTTCTTTTCCTCTCATCTACCTTTCTTTCTTCTTTTCCTCTCATCTACCTACCTTTCTTTTCCTCTCATCTATCTTTCTTTCTTCTTTTTCTCTCATCTACCTTTCTTTCTTTTCCTCTCATCTACCTTTCTTTTTTTTTTTTTCTCATCTACCTTTCTTTTCTGCTTTTCCTCTCATCTATCTTTCTTTTTTTCCTCTCATCTACCTTTCTTTCTTTCCTCTCATCTTTTTCTTTCTTCTTTTCCTCTCATCTACCTTTCTTTCTTTTCCTTTCATTTACCTTTCTTTTCTTTTCCTCTCATCTACCTTTCTTTCTTTTTCCTCTCATCTATCTTTCCTTCTTTTCCTCTCATCTACCTTTCTCTTCTTTTCCTCTCATCTACCTTTCTCTCTCTTTTCCTCCTTTCCTTTCTTTCTTTTCCTCTCATCTACCTTTCTTTCTTTTCCTCTCATCTACCTTTCTTTCTTCTTTTCCTCTCATCTACCTTTCTTTTCTTTTCCTCTCATCTACCTTTCTTTCTTTTCCTCATCTATCATTCTTTCTTCTTTTCCTCTCATCTACCTTTCTTTCTTTTCCTCTCATCTACCTTTCTTTCTTCTTTTCCTCTCATCTACCTTTCTTCTTTTCCTCTCATCTACCTTTCTTTCTTTTCCTCTCATCTACCTTTCTTTCTTTTCCTCTTCTACCTTTCTTTCTTCTTTTTCCTCTCATCTACCTTTCTTTCTTTTCCTCTCATCTTCCTTTCTTTCTTCTTTTTCTCTCATCTACCTTTCTTTTCTTCTTTTCCTCTCATCTACCTTTCTTTCTTTTCCTCTCATCTACCTTTCTTTCTTTTCCTCTCACCCACCTTTCTTTCTTTTCCTCCCATCTACCTTTCTTTCTTCTTTTCCTCTCATCTACCTTTCTTTCTTTTCCTCTCATCTACCTTTCCTCTCTTCTTTTCCTCTCATCTACCTTTCTTTCTTCTTTTTCTTCTCATCTACCTTTCTTTCTTCTTTTCCTCTCATCTACATTTCTTTCTTTTCCTCTCATCTACCTTTCTTTCTTTTCCTCTCATCTACCTTTCTCTCTTCTTTTCCTCTCATCTACCTTTCTTTCTTTTCCTCTCATCTACCTTTCTTTCTTTTCTTCTCATCTACCTTTCTTCCTTTCTTTTCCTCTCATCTACCTTTCTTTCTTTTCCTCTCATTTTCTTTCTTTTTTCCTCTCATCTACCTTTCTTTCTTTACTCATCTTTTTCTTCTTCTTTTCCTCTCATCTACCTTTTCTTTCTTTTTTTTCTTTTCTACCTTTCTTTCTTCTTTTCCTCATCTTCCTTTCTTTTCTTTTCCTCCCCATCTACCTTTCTTTCTTTTTTCCTCTCATCTACCTTTCTTTCTTTTCCTCTCATCTACCTTTCTCTCTTCTTTTCCTCTCATCTACCTTTCTTTCTTCTTTTCCTCTCATCTACCTTTCTTTCTTCTTTTCCTCTCATCTACCTTTCTTTCTTTTCCTCTCATCTACCTTTCTTTCTTCTTTTCCTCTCATCTACCTTTCTTTCTTCTTTTCCTCTCATCTACCTTTCTTTCCTCTTTTCCTCTCATCTACCTTTCTTTCTTTTTCCTCTCATCTACCTTTTTCTTTCCTCTCATCTTTTCTTTCTTCTTTTCCACTCATCTACCTTTCTTTCTTTTTTCCTCTCATCTACCTTTCTTTCTTCTTTTCCTCTCATCTACATTTCTTTCTTTTCCTCTCATCTACCTTTCTTTCTTTTCCTTTCATTTACCTTTCTTTCTTTTCCTCTCATCTACCTTTCTTTCTTCTTTTCCTCTCATCTACCTTTCTTTCTTCTTTTCCTCTCATCTAACTTTCTTTCTTCTTTTCCTCTCATATACCTTTCTTTCTTTTTTTCTCATCTACTTTTCTTTCTTTTCCTCTCATCTACATTTTATTCTTCTCCTCTCATCTACTCTCTCTATCTCTGTCCCTCTATGTTTGAATATTATATATGTGTGTGTGCGTGTGTGTGTCTCTGTTTGTCAGTGTGGCTCTGTGTGTGTTGATACATATTCTTTGAATAAGTTAGATATGTCCTGTATACTTATTTTCTATTGAGTCCTTTCATATTCACTCATATGCATTCTGGTGTTGTTATCTGAGGACGAGAAACAAACGCCGTGTTAGATCTCTCCCTACAATAACGCCAACAAAATGCTTATCCGTGAATATGAAAGGATTCAATTAAAAATAAGTAGACAGAACATAATTAAATTATTCAACGAAACATTTGTCAATGAAAACATGCGGCTAAAATATACGCATATATATATATATATATATATATATATATATATATATATATATGTGTATATATGTGTGTGTGTGTGTGTGTGTGTGTGTGTGTGTGTGTGAAATATATATAGAAAATAGGGAAGAACTTGTTAGGTAAATAATCCAAAACATGAGAACTCTTATATAGCGTGTGGAATCATATTTTAAATAAATAATATATATATATATATATATATATATATATATATATATATATATATATATATATATATATATATATATAAACCAGAAGACTGCCCATTAGAAAATAAATGCTGTATTAATTCTGTGGTATACCAATGTACTATTTCATCCACAGAGAGCCCTAGCACTAATATGATATTCATTGGGTCCACGAAGAATAATTTTAAAAATAGATGGAGGCAGCATAAGTGCTCCTTTAATAATATAAACAAACGAAATCAGACTTCACTATCAAAATATATTTGGCACCTGAAGGAAACAAATAAGACACCAAAAGTTAAATGGAAAATTATTGAAAAGGCTAGAATATGTAAAGCTTGGGATGACCCATGCCCTTTGTGCCTCCATGAAAAATTGCACATTATTAAACTTCTAAATAATAATTATCTATTAAATAATAGACACGAGTTAACGGTTTTTTGTAGGCATCATCAGATTTTTGGTTTGAATTATTAGATAAAAGAAATTATATAACTTGTTTAACAAATAGCCCAATCATCAGATTCATAGTAGGAATAATTAACTAAAAACATGCATACAACATAACACACTTTATAATCCATAGCCTAAATTAGTAGTTTAAATACATTACATATAAGATAACCCATTATGAAGTCGTCAAAAAACAAATGTTACGAAAGTTTTTCTTTTTTTTATATGCGCAACTCCCTTTCATAATAAAATAAAATAAAATAAATAAATAAATCTCCATAGACAAGCAAACTAGACGATGGCCAATACATCTTCCGTTTCATTTTTGACACCCCCACCTTTCTCCGACTTGACACCTTGAAAGTATCTCTATACCGCTACTTATTATAAACACCCTACACTCGCCTACCCAATTTAGACAATTCACCATAGCTGTTACCATGGGAATTTTGATTTCAATTTTAAAACAAGTTAATTTCAGATATACTTTATTCCAACAAAAATTTCGCTTGAAGATGGAACGGAGCCCATTTTATTTTCAACTCAATTTAATTTAAAGGATTATATTGAAGTTTTCGGCTCTTGTTTTGAAATATGAGACCTCTTATGTAGCGATTTGGAATCATATTTTTAAATAAATAATTATATTTATGCTCTACTTTTGTATCGAGCACTATTTTTAAAAAATAATAACTAAAATACTAAGGGACTTTGGATTATTTACCTAACCAGTTCCTTCCTATTTTCTATATATTTTCACACACACACATATATATATATATATATATATATATATATATATATATATATATATATATATAATATATATATATATAAATAAGTATATATATATATATATATATATATATATATATATATATATATATATATATATATATATGAACATTAAAGTCAACACTTAAAAGAAAGCGACAGGCTGTTTCATGGTAGACGCAAACGTCAGGCCACGAGCATGATGAAACAGCCTGTGTTGACTTCAATATTCACTTTTATATTTACACACGCTCTATCTCTGATATTGACCACTTTATTCCATGAATATAGCACACCTTTAAGTGTATATTTCTTCGTGTATATATATATATATATATATATATATATATATATATATATATATATATATATATATAAATGAAATCTGTCTAGGACAAATTTTAAAATGTTTTTGTGAGACCCGTTTCGTTCTTAATGACATGTTACGACAAAAGTGATTTTTACGTTCATGTGATTAGACATAGTCATTGAGATCAATTTTGACTATAAATGTAAATTTGTGCAAATTACATTGAAATAGATTTTCTGCATATTGTCTTGATGTATAAAATTAAGAATAACAGGAGAAAGAAACGGCGAAAATAATTCCATTTTATCTAGCAAGAAAATTCGGCCAACAAGATCATGAGAATACTGACGAGACACATTCGCATCTCGGCAAAGACATTCAATTTTCCTGTTTATGATGTTTCTTTCGAACCGGGAATTCTAACTAAACCATCAAATAGGATTATAATTTAGGTTAGAATGATTATTAAGTCATGCGAATATTTCAGGTGGGTTCGTGTTTATTATTAGTTTTATTAATATAAACATTAGAAATTTTTTTTTCTCCCGGTCAGCTCTATGTAATTATGTTCTAAGTAGAAAATTGTAGTGGACTTAACAGAATGCTAAAAAGAATTTTAGAAAATAGATTGTTTGTCTTAAAATGTTTTTTTATAAAGCAAATTTAGAGAGGTAACTCAAACTCAGTTTCTATGAAAATATATTTTTTTCCTTTTAACAATCGGTTCGCTGTTCTTTGGACCGGTATCTTGTTAATAGTATAATTGTGCAGTGTCTCTATTGTACGGAGAGTATGAAAAGTCATTACAACTTCTTATCCCTTGTAGCTTTTAATAAATATTGTCTTTCTCTTATTCTTCCTAAATTCTGTTCTGCTATACATTTACTATGTATTGTTTTTTTTTTCTTCCCCCTGTTCCTATAGTTGTCCCGAAAGTATCAGCCTTCCCTCTCCCTCCATCTTCATTATGTTCCAAAAACCACAACTGTCTGATTTTAGTTGTAAATGTCATATTGGTTTCCATTTTCACTAAAAAATTGTCGTTGCTCACAAATTCGGTTCATGGTATCCTCAGCCTCCTTCTGCAGAATGACATTTCTGTTGCTTCAGTTCTCTTCTTCATCTTTGATGAGATAGTCAAGCACTTACTGCAATAGAGGAGGTCAGATATAACGTAACATTTTAGTACTATTTTCTTTGTTTCTAGTGTGGATTTTCTATTTCTTCGAACTTTGTATTACCGTATCTAAAGTGTAAGCAAGCTAGTTTTGTAGAACAACGCTGAAATGTTTCTTTTTCTCACTATGTTTTCCATTACTCAGTTTTTCAGCAAACCGAAGTTAAATCGAATTTATATAAACGCCCGGACAATGGATGCTGCAGACATTTCAAGCGTCAGCGTTTAATCTAAAATTATGGTTTTGTATTATAACACACGAAGTTAAGTAAATATCTCAACGGTTCCAAAACTTGATTACTGCATTGTACTCAAACATAGCCTTATCAAACTGACTAGCTTCCCAACTAACATAATTGAAAGCGTTTTTACACGATGAAAAGTTTATAAAAATATATTTAAAGAAATATAGTCTTAAGGTGTGCTATATTTATGGGATAAATTGCTCAATATCAGAGATAGAGCGTGTGTAAATATAAAAGTGAACATAAAGTCAACACTTAGAGGCGACAGTCTGTTTCATACTATATGCAATCGTCAGGCCTGACGATTGCATATAACATAACAAACATCTCACTTTTCACTATAAAATATATATGTATAAAGTATATGTAAATATAAGTTTATTATATACATATGTCATTCTTTTACTTTTAAAAATTCGTTTCATTTTGATTGAATTATTATATGAAATGAAGCATATCAAAAGAAAATAACAATGGAAAAATGCTTTTCGTTCCAGCTCAGTCCAGAAACCATGTTTATTGACAGGGTGCAATTTCTTTGAGTAAATGTGATAGAATTTAGAGGAAGTACAATAAACAATACAATAATTCACCTAATCTAGAAGAATCCTCAACAGAATGCAGAAAGCACTGGACGGTAATTTCGTCCAAATTGGGATTCATCAGGAGTGCGCACCATTACCGAGAATAAAACACGGACCACTTCGATACAACGCAAGTGTCATACTAACTGTACCAACAGGGCCTGGGTGAGGAAGAAGAATCTGAATAGCCTTGATATAACATTGCTACTCACAAATTCCGAGGTGATACTCTTCCAGATATTGATAACCCAACCGGGGGTGCCTCAAGAGAAACATGTTTCCCTGGGTCAAGTAAGTATATGCAAGTGATAGAATTTTGCGAAATTAGAATAATTACTATAGTAATTCATCAAGTCTAGAAGAATCCTCAACAGAATGCAAAAAGCACTGTACGCCCTATTTGGGGCTCATCAATAGTGCTACTAGTTTTCTGTCTCACTGTATATATATATATATATATATATATATATATATATAAATATATATATATGTAAATGCGTTTTGAGTCTCGCCGAGGAAAATGCGTTTATGATTCTCGTCTCATGATCTGATGCTGCATTTATATGTTTATATATACTTGTGTCTCATATATCTATATTTCTGTTTCATATTATATATATATATATATATATACATTGTGTGTGTATATATATATATATATATATATATATATATATATATATATATATATATATATATATATATATATATATATATTAGTCTCAATACAAGTAAATGCAAATACGAATATAATCTCTCATGAAATCCAGTTGCATATGCAAATTATTTTTCTCAAGAGTAATTTATATTTTCTCACTTTTCTTTTCATCTTGCATTCGATAATATTTCTACATTCTCTGGGGAAATAGGAACTTCAGGAAATGATAAAGATTTCATTCCTTGAAATTGATGAAATAAAAATGTCCCAATTTATATGTAAAAAAAAAAAAATACTTAATTCCAAGAAAAAAATTAACGGACAAATTCTCCATTCCACCATTTACCAAAGTCTCTCTCGGGGATGGAATAATATAAGAAAATATACGCCAGCTTATCTCATTACATGGATTTATTTTATGTAAATCATGCAAAAAGTGAATGCATTTACAAATTTTGTGTGCATATTATATGTTTAAATTCGAGGTGCATTAAATGCATAATCAGTGAAAATGACACATGTATAGAAATACGTTAGTGAAAATCATTTACTACTTACATATCGATATTTTTTTTAAGAGTTACTACATAGTTTTATATCAAGTTTATATGTGTATGCATGGGACGATTTTCAACCAAAGAAATATCGCAGCATCATTACTGTAAAAAATATTTATTTGAAGATTTGAAGTTTAAATATATTTACACATAAATTTAATTTAATAAGTGCGTACGTATTCGTGTGTAAGTATACGTGTGTGTGAATATGTGTGCGCGTGTGTTGATTTGTTGGTTGCTTGTTTGATTTTGTTTAGCAACATATAAAATTAATTAATCCATAGCTGCGAGGGAAAAGTGACGAATCCCTGTCTTTCCCACGGGTATTTGCTCGTTAGTATGGCAAATCAATGTGGTATAGTTACTCGGATCTGCCATTGGCAATTCCGAGCTATTATACACCACAACACCCGCAAATCCAAGCTTACAGCAGCTGGTACTAACAAGCAGTCACCCATCTAGGTTTTGACAAGTCTCAACGTTGCTCAATTTCGGCAATTGTACACTTACGTACGTACGTATGTGTGCGTGTGGGCGCGCGAGTTTGTGTGTGAAGACTTCTTCAGAATCCAACGAAAATTTTTATTAATAATATTTTTTATTCATCTTTTTATGTTTAGGATCATTATCATATTTCCTGTAGATATTTAAATAACATTTTCCAACGTCTAAGTGCTTTCGATTATTCATTTGTAAATATCAGGTTTCAGCGTTTTCATATGACGAATTTTTTAGCCAAAAAGTCTCACATAGTGGACAATGTATATTAAAATATTTACTATGAATCAGGAAATGATTCGAAATATAGAAAACCCATTTTATGCACTGTATATTCTCTATAAATATTGTCATGGTAATTGTTCTGAGTAACTTTCCTCTATGATATTTCAACTTTAATAATATAAGCTCATTACTAGATTGACGTCAACCTCTCATAATTTTACACTTTAAATGGCGAGGCAGAACTGTAAGTTCTTTGCAAACAGTTGCATCTCGCTTTCAGAATTCCCTTCCAGCTTATTGCTTCTTAGTTAACGTTGATCTTCAAAAATTTAAATGTAATATCAATCGTTATCATCAATCATCTTAATACTTGTTCTTCTATTCTTCTCTCTCATTAATAGTTTTTCCCGTAATCTATAATATTCAGTAACCCCTAGTCTCTCAGTTGATATATTGTCCTGCTCGGTGTAAAATGATTAAAGATATTCTATCCTTAAAAACAAAACCTTCTTTAGTTCTATAGCATGACTTTTTATGAAGGCACAGTTGCTACCACGATACGATTTCTGTCTCACGATACACACACACACACACACACACACACACACACACATATATATATATATATATATATATATATATATATATATATATATATATATATATATATATATATATATATATATATATGAATATAATAAAAAGGCTTAAACACTTTTCCATAGTCATAATTCATTCCATTGGAATCGTAAATACGATCCAATTCATTGAACCTACAAATTCAAATTTTTTTTGTTTTGGGTCTGATGAAACAGATCGTATTATTCAATTAATGACCCTGAATATTAGTATTTAAAATTTATTTATCCTTACTCTCTCCTGGACATTGAGTTCTACCTGGATTCTATCCTCTTGGAATTTTTATTAAAAAATATACATGTATGTGTATGTACCTATGTATATATATTTATATATTTTATGTATGTGTATATTTACCACTAATATATATATATATATATATATATATATATATATATATATATATATATATATATATATATATATATATATATATATATATATAAGCAAGTGTAAATGGATATAAATCCGACAGAATGAAGAAATTTTGAAAAAACAAACAAAAATCAAAATTTAGTTAAAATGAAAAAAATGTCGACGTCTGACGTTTCGGTTTAATAAACCTTTTTCAAGACAATATTCATCAAAATACAATTCAGTTCAATATGACAAATACGATGGACATAAAAACACAAGTCTTATTCAGAACAGATAACTGAAAAATTTTTAAAATTTTCAGTTATTCATTCCTAATAACTGAAATTTTTGAAAAAGTTATCTGTTCTGAAAGGTCAGACTTGTTTTTTTCATTTTAAAATTATTTATGATTTTGTTTTGTTTTTTCAAATTTCTTCATATATATATATATATATATATATATTTGTGTGTGTGTGTGTGTGTGTGTGTGTGTGTGTGAATTTTTCTTGTTTATGCACATTTCTTTAAGAGTTTTTTCTTCAGTTTTTGAGATGGAATTTTTATATATCTTGTTTAATGTACCTAGCGCCTTAGTCAGTGATCAGTTATTTTAGTGTAGAAAACCGTGTGTTTATAGGTATGCACTGTGTTTTTATTTATTTTCTTTTGCGTTTCCTTTTTTGTTGCTGAGATTATCAAGCGTTTTCTTCTTCATGTAACGATGGGTGTCAAGTAGTTTTTTTCTTTCTTTATATATATATATATATGTCTGTGTGTATGTGCGTCTATGTAAGTCTATATCAGTATGTGTGCGCATGCAAGTGGACGTGAGTATGTTAGTGTTTGTGTGTCTATCTGAGCAAGTGTGTGCGCACATGTGCGCAAGTATCTGCACGCGCGAGTGCAAGTGTATGCGCGCGCGAGTGCAAGTGTATGCGCGCGCGTGTGCGTGCTTTTGTGTGCACGTGTGTTTTTGTGTGTCTATGTATGCAAGTTTTCACGCGTGTGTGCTTTTGTGCGCGCGCTCATACACACTAGCGCGCACACACACACACACGTGTGTACGTGTGCGTATGTCTGCGTGTTTTGAGGTACACCAAATATAAAGGATGAAAAATCAGTTGCTTATAGGAAGTTTAAAATAAATCTGTTTTAATAATAATAATAATAATAATAATAATAATAATAGTATCTTTTTGAGCGGGTTATTCGTAATGCACCGTGGGCGATTTCAAACCAAGAGAAACGCACAAAATCCCCACGCCAGAAGATAATAACGAATGAAATTACAACCCCGATATCTGGGGTTTATATTGAAGTTTTATGCCTTAAGGTGGTTCATTTGATAACCAAGAGGAATATGCTGATCATTCCCCACTTCCTAATTTTTTTTACTGTTCCCAATTCATAGCTTCCGGGAACATCACTGTTCAAAGGCTACAGAAATCAAATGAACAAAATATACAAAAGAATTGAAATATTCTTTTGCATACAATCAAATATTGAACACATAGTAGGTTTTGACCTTGACCTTAAAGGAAATTATTTCAAAAGATCATAAAATCACACAGACAATCTACACCATAAAACTTAAGAGAAAAAGTAAGATATACTCATTGGAGAATAATTATAGTGTCTGTAGAGAAAATATCGCTAGAAGCTGTATTTTACTAAGATAGAAAAAATAGCATGTGAGAAAGTAAATTGAGATCCACACTACATCATAACCCAATGTATACCTGAAATGAAACAAACAGCGATCAATTTTGAGTTCTTCTGTAGTTTATGGATGTCTATCACAACTACTCCTCCCTAGGAATAGTGATGATGGCCAAATTAAATTTCTTTACAGGAGATAGTTTAATGCCACCGGTAAGGGCGGTTTTTAAGCTAGCTTAAAATTTTAAGCTAGCTGCAACTTTTGATACAAAAGTAAAATAAGATTACACTCCATGAACCATGAAATTAACGATAATGGCTAGCATATTTTATTAATATATATTTTTTAACATCGCATAATCTGGCAACCCTGAATCTGAGCTCAACGAAAATCGTTCCATCCGCCTAATTTTTCAAGGGCTTTTGAATGAGCTGTTAAACATTGAAATGGGACCAGTGAAAGCGGAGGATTTTTTTGACACGGACAGGCACAAACACACGCACATACACTGTACTTTACATATAAGCCAAGCCTTAGGAAAAGTATGAATTATATGCAAAGAGTTAGATTTTTACTTCTTACTCGAAAAGAATATATAATTTCATTTAACAAGTAGTCACTGCGAATACTAATGTAAATTTAGTAAGATAATTCACAATGGAAATTTTTATGATAGCCAGTCTGTAGTTATGCAAATTAAATAAACCTCAATAACGCAAAAAGTTCTGAACAAATATTTAAATTTAAACTCGTCCATTTCACCCTTTGTAGAATATTTAATTAAATTTTCTGTCATTCTTAATGGTCATTATTTGAGATATACGAAATTTACGAAAATGGACTAACAGAAGTTATTATGTAGATTAAACTAATATTAGCTTGAGACCTCTCAAATCTAAGAAAATATATGCTGAAATATGGCTAATGTCGAGGATTTGACAACTGCAGAAATACAAAAAATAACAAAGTTGTTGAGTGAGAGAATGTCCACATTGGATATACCAAAGGAGCTTTGTAGAGATCATCAAATGATAAAGAAGGCTGTTGAAAATTTTAGAACTTGAAATAAAGGAAGAGGCTTTAAGAACTAACTTCCTTGAAATGAACGTAAACTAAAGCGAGTTATAGCGAAACAACCACATTTGACCAGCTCTCAGAAAAGGCTGAAATTGATGGATTCAAGAAGGACAAAAAATTGTAGACTACGTTGTGATTTGGGATCTGTCAAAAATATATCCTAGGAAACCTCCTCCCACTAAGGTAAATATTTTAAAGCATCATAATTGGTCCAAGAAATAAATAACTTTTCTAAAGCAATTATCACGGATGAATATCTCGTGTGATATTTGATGAACCTGATGGATGGGCTAAAGGATGAATTTTATCCAATTCATATTGTGCCTATGTCCAAATGAAGGCAAAAAGGTGGTGGTAGTTTTATAGGCGATGGAATTATCGACCAAATCATTATTTACGCATTCAAAGTCGAAGAAGCGGTTAAATTGCACAGTACTAAGTCTTGCGATGTTTCGAAAAAAATTTCTTTGCATGGTACAAGTCCCAGTCCCAGTCCCGCAGTTTCAAAGTATAGTGTGTATTTATGCACGACAATTCTTCTTGTCATATATCTTAGCTTACCAGGGAAGTACTGTTCTGAATCGGATCCAAAATCTATTGTCAAATGTGATGATGAAATTATATAAAGATAGCAAACAATATCAAATCGAAGCAGATATATGCAAAGCAATTAAAATCACCATATCGGAAATTGAACCTGCTGAAATAAAATATATTTATATATATAACAAAACGAATAGATAATAAATTATTGGCTGTTATTGAGAAGGTTCACTATAATAAAATGTAACGGATTCAAAACTTAACATATGTGATTGTTCTTTGTTGTATTATAGGTGATCAGTTTTTGTTAATTTTATTATCTTTTTATTGATGTAAAATGTGCTTATTTTTTGTCTAATAACGTCAGACGACAGTTATTTATTTTTGAATACATCAAATAACTTCAATAAACCATATTGATACTACCAAAAATTTTAACTCGGGCTTTATTTTGACAACAAAACTGATTGTTTAAAATTTGAAAATAATTTAAAAACAAAATTTGAATTATTGAAGTTTATATGATATACTCCATAAACTCAAATAGTGTGTAAATGAAAGATAGTTGTCAAGCCTTAAATCTATTTGAATCTACTGATTCTCTTTCAGTCAGTTTTTATTCGACAAACAGTTGAATTAGAGTGGCTTGAATTGTTTGAATGTCGTAGTGGAAGAGGATATATTCCGTAGAAATTGTATGATTTGTTTGAGAATGTCCTATTATAACAAATACGATGCACCAGACTAAGATGAAGTTGAAATCAGAGCCTTTTCCATCCTCAGTAGATTTTCACGTCATCTCCCCTTCAAAAAATAATTTCCCCACCTCAAGCCGAGCTTTCAATCCTTTCCTGCGCTGATATTCAGGAATTCGAGGTATATTCGAGTAAAGATCAATAGAACAATTACCGTGACCATATTTATAGAATTGGTAAAAATGAATATGCACTACGGCGTTGGGAAAGAGACTGGAGTCAATATGGCAGGCCAGCTTCATTAACATTGCAGATTTGTCTTTGGATTTTGTCAAGAATTTCTAGACATGTAGCAGAAACATCAGCCCAGACAACAATATTCGATTTAAATTGAGAGCATAGGTAATTTACAGATTGCTCGCTTTCTGCACTTTGCACGGTGAAATGTTATATGTTTTTAAAGAGAGCTGTACGCTGCTGACGAGTATTCTCCAGACGTATCAAAACGTTAAACGCTTTCTATGTGTTTTAATGACAACGGAACAACAAATCGATTATAAATCTTGTTTAAAGCATCGTAAATAACCCCATTAATTCAGTTACCACTGGTTATAGGGAGCTCAAAGTTTTAAAAACTCTACCGGCAGAATCGTACGTGAGGAACTTCGATGTAGACAATATGTGATGCAAACAGATAATTTCATGTCTACAAATTCAGAAACAGAAAACATCTGATCCGTACAAAACTCTTTTTGATCAAGTTGACATCATGAACGTGGATTGTTATGCTGAAACATTAACGATGTCCCAACGGACACGCACACAACGATTCCGGAATATATGATGGTTCTGGGAAACGTCAGCAATGTTGTCTTCTCACCTTTTTATCTCAGGGCGTAAGGGTCAGGGCTGCATATTATAATGAAGTATTTGAGATTTTTACGAGGTTTTAGATAGAAAGCGTGAGGAAAGGGAGTCCGTACACCAACCAACAAGACTCTACTCCATTTCGTTAGGCCAAGACGACCTGAGGATGGATGTGATACATTCTCCACGATTGCGTAATCTAGTCCGAAATTTGTTGGACCCTCACTGATGGGTCACAGTCGAGATGGACATCAGCCAAAGTCTCCATAAAACTATAAAAGTTCTAAAGTTTACCACAATGTCCAGAATAGATAAAAAAAATATCTGATTCATTCATGTCAAAGTTTTAGAGTTATTGAAGCAATCATTGATGTTACCGGCAGATTCATTAAGTAGAAGAAAAGTCACAAGTTTCTTCATGCCAGTTAAGTCTCAAATAAAGCACATCCTTAAGGATTTAATCATCTTTTACTAAATTGATGCAAGTGTCCACAAATTACCTAAACAAACTTGAGCCTGTTGCTCTAAAAAAAAAATTGGATCTCCGCCTAAAGATTCATGCTTCAACTGCAGATGGTTGTGCTTGATTTGTCATGGCTGTACAGGCCCACACGGGTGTGGCAATTTCGCGTGTAAGGAATGCATGTGAAAATGATCACACGCGAAGTCTTCTCACTTCTCGATATCTATGTCTATTCCCCTCGTATCCCTTTTGAAAACAGACTTGAAGCGAAATGGATGCCGATCCCGTGCTCTCTTGCCACTGGGCAATTCCCCGTACAGAAGGACCTTCAGAATCCGCCCATCTGGCATAAGGTGTACATGACCAAGCCATCGCTGTTGTAGAAGACAGTATAGGCTGGCTAACTGGATACGGGTGAGAAATACGACACTGGTGATCTGGTCGGACGAACTGACGCCCAAAGAGTGAAGAGGCGTCTATCCTGTCTAGAGAGATGCTCAAGTCTCGTTATAGTAGGGCAGTCGTATGACTTAGGGACGGCAATTTTGGTGTTCATCAGTAAGCATTCCGTTCTACCAGATTTCTGAGTCCAGCCTGGTAATTGTGAGAAAGGGAAGCTCGTTAATCTCAGTGTCAGTGCGAAGGTATCTTAACCCTAGAACACTAACCATCAATTAAAGTTACACCACTATTAACCATGGGTATATCATACCCGATTTTGAAAATATCAAAATAGATATTAAATATAAATCTTTATTAGAATTTTTTTTACATGTAGTCACTTCAAACTTTGTACTTTGAGTTAATATTAATAGGAACTGAAAAAAGTTAAGAAAATCAGGTACTGAAAATTGTTATTAAAAATAGGAAAATTTGCGCTGAGTACTATATACACACGGTGAGTGTTCTAGGGTTAAACGGTGCTACCGAGGTATGGGAATTCATATACCCCTTTCAGGTCGTAGTTGTTTTTTGATTTTTTGATTTTTTGGTAGCAGGATGCTGTTCGTCGTCTTGATCCGTCATATCGGATTTCTTCAGATTGATGGTCAGACTGAACTCTCTGCAGGGTTTTGAAAATTTTCCATAAATCGGTTCAGTTTTCTTCAGAGTGGGCTAACAGCGCTGAAGGTTGTTTAATATTGGTCATCATACGTGAACCTGTGTTCCA